CCCTGCCCCAAACATCTGGGTCCCTTCCTGGAGACACCAACCCCGTGGTCTCATCCCTGCCCCAAACATCCGGGTCCTTTCCGAGAGACACCAACCCCGTGGTCTCAACCCTGCCCCAAACATCTGGGTCCCTTCCGAGAGACACCAACCCCGTGGTCTCATCCCTGCCCCAAACATCTGGGTCCCTTCCTGGAGACACCAACCCCGTGGTCTCATCCCTGCCCCAAACATCCGGGTCCTTTCCGAGAGACACCAACCCCGTGGCCTCATCCCTGCCCCAAACATCTGGGTCCCTTCCTGGAGACACCAACCCCGTGGTCTTATCCCTTCCCCAAACATCTGGGCCCCTTCCCGGAGACACCAACTACGTGGTCTCATCCCTGACCGGATGCCTGGGTCCGTTCCTAGAGAAACTGATTGCACAACCTTGACCTCATTGCCCGTCCGGACACTTGGGTCCCTTCCTGGAAAAACCAACCCCGTGGCCTCATCCCCCAACCAGATGCCTGGGTCCTTTCCCACGGAACCTGACCCTGAAGCTCGGCCTCATCCTCGTTTATTGTCCCTCCTGGGCAGGAAGAGGCATAAATTAATGTGGGGAGGGTGGGGAGGGCTGTGGTGGTCTCTAGAGGGGGGGGACACCAGTCGTGGGACACAAGACGGTGGATGGGGTGGGGGGTCCGTGGTCAGCAATACTCCGAGTAATCTTCCTCCACGTAGTTGGCGGGGAACCATCCAACCTGGGAGGAAAAGGGACAGGTTGGGAGAAGGTGGGAGGAGCCTGGGGTGGGGACACACACACACCCTGGGTGGGGGAGGGGCCATACCCGCCCGTAGATCTCTCCTTTCCACCAGCCTGGGTGGCCTTTCTTGCTGAGGACGCGGATGACGTCACCTTCCCGCAGCGTCAGCTCCGTCCGGTCCCGGGCGCAAAAATCATAGCGGGCTTTGGCCGAACCAAAGCTGTGCATGGCTCCTTGGGGCGGGGCAGGGGAGGAACATGGACGAGTTGCTCAGGTGATGACCCCATGGGTGTCCAAGTCCCCTCCACATGGTCCTCAAGGCCATTTGTGCCCCTTTGATTGTCCCGTGGACCTTCCCTCAACCCATCCCTTGGCCATCTCCGTTGACGTGGCCCCAGAACCCAGCCGTTCCTCTTGGCCGTTTGTCCCTCCTTGACTCATGCCATTGTTGATCCCTCAACCCATCTCTTGGCCATCACCAATGACTTGACTGGATGCTTCAACCCCCCCCCCCCCCCCCGTCC